TTGCATGTCGCTATCGGTAAAATATGAGTACTGTTTTGTTACGTATTTGTACCACCTTTTTTAAACCATATTTTAAGCAAATATCATTAATTAATTCTCTTTAATGTAGTTTCGTGTTTAAAACGTTGTTATCTAAAAACCATCTTAGTTCTTTCAATGTTTAAAACTTTGTATTCCGTCTTACATGTTTTAGTGGCTTCTTCCTTTATGGTTGAACAAACTAAGTTCCAAATTTCATTAGTTCATATAGGCACTGAGGTCACAGTTTTATTACGAACAATATATCTGATTTCAACCCTATTGTTAATGTAATAAAGCAGCCATAAAAAGGGAATGTTGTTTGCCCACGTAATGTCATCGGGAAGGGTGTTGGGCTGTAATCCTATTTTGAGAATACGCGTACCAGGGCCAAAATTGGGAGTAAATTTAGGCGTCTGAAATTCATTTTATTACTCACACACGTGCGAAGCAAATATGTACCATTGTTTTAACACAAAAGTATCTATATCTCAACACATGATACGTTCCAATACTAGGTCTACTTTTTTTTTATATAACACCAAGTGACGAGACGAACAAGTCGTGCGCCTGGTCTTATGTCACACTATATGTATTATCATATGCATGTTTTGTAAGCAGTAGAGCTCCTTGTGAAAGAGTTCGTCCAGGGAAGTACTTTACCTATTTCTGACGCCAAGCAGTAATGTTAGCATTACTGTGTTCCCGATTTTGAAGGGTAAGGGGGTGTACTTATGTATCGTAGAAATTAAGGCGAGTCACTGGAGAAGCGGGAAAAGCTGTGTTACCATAATATAACTTACAAAAACTATACTATACACAAAAAAAAAGAATAATGTCAAGAGAAAGTGCTAATTTGTTACACAATAGGATGTACTTCATCCGATAAAATAAAATCGTAAAAACAGATTAAATATAAAACCAAACCGAATTGTCCAAGGATAAAATATCTAACTTTGCACCTAATTTTTACAAGAAGATATTTATCTTTAAGCATTACAGAGAACCTGCTAAATTTTGATTTTCAGTGAAGCCCTATAGTCATTAAATTCACAAAATTTGCAGATTCCCTAGCGGGTTAACGACACGCGGCGCCGCTGCCGCCCGCTGCCCTGTCTAACTGATGGTGACTGACAGTGTCAGTCACCATCGGGCGCTTGTTGACGTTGGATCTGTGTCAAATTTTCTCCACGCCTCACTTCCTGAAATCTAGGCTCGGTTGAAATACCTCGCTTTAAAGACATAGATAGGTAGATGCCGCCACCGTGAGAAGTAATAACATTTCTGAAGTTTTATTCAGGCAATCATTTGACCTTTACAATCACTCGACTCCGCCTTCGAACCTAACTAAATTGAAAGTAACGTACAGACAGCAATCTACGCTGATACTTAAGTTTAATTTATCTCTAATCCCCTCTCTTAGAGAATTATGTCAGTGTGTAGGAAGTCATGGGAGTTCCACTTATTATTGATTGACGTTTAACTACAAAACTGCTCTTTAAGTCTTTTTCGGCTTCTGGCACAATACGAAACATAACGGTATACCAACACCATTAGTGATATTGAATAACCTCCAAACGCGCCGTGAATATAAAAATTTACATAGGTACGATGGAATTTCTAAATTAGGCTCAGACAATATTATTCCGACGATCACGTAAATGCCCAGTGCGTGTTACGTGAGGCGCACTATAAGTTTCCGGAATGAATAAAAAAAAATACTATAAATGGTCAGAAATGAATTTATTTCTCTGAATTAATTTCACTTTTTCATACGGATGAACCGATTTTGAAAACATTTATGTCACTCCTCCGTGACAATTTGTGAAGCATATTTTATACTCTTCGACAGCCTCTTCAGGTGGTGAAAATCCTTGACCGCGTAACTGGTTCTTAATTTTTGGAAATAAATAAAAGTCACAAGGTGCCAGGTCGGGACTGTATGCGGGAAGGCTCAAAAGGTCAACGTTGTTCACATTCAAAAATTCATTTGTCTGTCTGGCCTTGTGAGAACTGGCATTATCGAGGTGGAAGATGATGCGGCGTTTACGTTTATTTTTACGGAGTTAATAAATTAATAAATAAAAAGTCAATAACTTCCAGCAAACAAATGGTCTTGTACCAATCGCTATTCACGGTACAACGATTCTCCAAAGCAACAGCAGCCACGTGACCAGTTTTATTAAAAAAAGAAGCAATCATCTGCTTAGAGGCACTTTGCACGCGCGCCACTTTGGTTGGTTTCGGCTCATCTCGAAAGGCCCATACGCTCGATTGCTGCTTTATTTTGGGATCGTAACTATAAATCCATGTTTCGTAACCTGTTACTATGTCCCACACCAAATTTGACGCCCTTTTGTTGTTTCTGGTAATCAAAATCATTTCACCAAGTGGCGCGATCCGTTTTTTGGCCTCAGTCAAATTGTGTGGGATCCACCGAGAGCACAGCTTTTTCACACCCAAATGTTTGTGTAGTGTTGATTGTATTTGACTCATGCCTATGCTTAAAGATGCCCGAAACTCGGGATATGTCACATGCCTGTCTGTTTTGATCATACGACGCACAGCATCGATGTTCTTGTTGTTCACAGCAGTAGACGGCGACCATCACGAAATTCGTCACTGAGATTCACACGACCTCGGTTAAATTCTGCAAACCAGCTATTCGTCTTGCATGGTGCTTCATCGCCAATATCAGTTTGATGCCGAGCGAAGTTCTGCTAAGCTGTGAAATTACACTTAAAGTCGTAGAAAATCATACCACGAAAATTTTCAGGAGTTAGATCCATGGTGATGTAGACAACCAATTTCTAAAATGACGCCGCCACAATGTACAAGTGATAGTCGGATGAAACAAACTGTGTTCTATAGCCAAAGAGTTCCATTTTCAATGTTGTTTATGTAAGTGGCCAGTTCCGGAAACTTATAGTGCGCTCTATGTGTAATGAAAATAACGCATTCAAATTTAGCGCATTGTATTTTCATGCAAAACTGAGCGCACACTAGCTTGAGCTTGAAGCATGTAATTATATGAAAATTTCGTCGCCTAACTTTCTCAAACTCATATCTTAAAGCGCAAAGCTACTGAAATGCAAAACATGGATTGTATGTACAAATTATGCAGACTGATTTCATATCACATTTTCTTCATATTTACACATTGTCACACTGGCTTTTACCTATTCTTAAAGTACTGCATCCCAATTAACACCCTTGATAAGAAATTTAAAATAAATAGGACGTTTCGCCATCTCCTGAATAATCACTCTTTATAAGATACGAGTTTGAGAAAGTAAAGCGTCGATTTAGTACATATTAATATAAAGTCACCAGCACATCTAGCTATACATTTTTGTTCAAATATCCGTATGTGTAGCTTGATGTGCTGTCGTCTGTTCATGGAGCAGCACTTTTCCCATTGCAGTTTGTTGGGTCTTAGGAGGAATGTAAGTTTCATAATTTAAGTTGTAAATACAAATAAAATCGGTTATTAGTTTTAAGAAGGGATTTATAAAAACAGATATATCAGAAAACCGATAGCAGCTGTAGAGCTCCTTGTGAAAGGAGCCTTACCTATTTCTGCCGCCAAGCAGGAACGTGAACTATAACTACTAATTACAGACCTATCGCTTATCACCTGGCGCATGACTTGGAATCATAAAAAAATACATTGACATTGCGTCTACAAAATCATTATAATAAGATGACGAGAAAATTCTCCAATATTGACATTATTGCATTATAAATATAATGTAAATTGGCATTTGTTTTTTCCTAAAAATACTTGTTCAAGAACAGTAAGCGTTTAAGGAAAATTGCCTTGGAAAATGGAATATATTGGTACGAATGAACACCTAACTAACAAACATACACTACTTACTACATACAAATTTGCGGAATTCAGTAATTAATTACCTAATACAATAAATTATGGTATAAAAAGAAGAAGAGTAAAGTAAATGAACAAAAATAATGTGTCATCCTGTTTGCCCAAAGAAATGAAACTGCCTAGCAACCGGTATTTTTCCACTCCACGTGTAACGAAACGGCACTTGTGTTTAGTGAAAGCTACAATTTAGGGCTATTCAAGGCTACAGTGAATAGGCATTTAGTGGACAATCGAGCAACATCGTCGCTTAATATCAGTGAAATTATAACTTAGCGTTCCTTTAACATAAAAAAAAAACAGAAATTAGGTTACAATTGTTAATATAAAGATAGAACACAAAGAAAAATTTCTTCGACCTTACAGGACTTGAACTTGTGTCGACGCTATACTGTAGCGTTGAACGCCAACTGAGCTACACGTCAAGTTAACAGGTTGACGAAATTCTTCTGTGTCTTGGTATAGATGTTTGTACTGCTTTTTTTTGCTTTCAACGAGCCGCCGTAATAAGAATGCTCATGCAAAAGACTGCTTCTGCTACAATCTCAACTACAAATACACAGCTCAGGTCCCCACGCGATGTCGGTAAATATATTCAACGATATCCCGCCAATCATTCAGAAGGACAGAAAGTATTCACTCTTTCTTATTTATTTGAAATAATACCTAATTAACAAATGTACTACAAGTTAAACGAATACTTTAATGAAAATATTGTAACAAATTTTAATAATAAAATTAATAAACAAAATCTTGAATTACATACGTCACATTGTATATTCATATTATTATAATTTAATTTAATTAGAATTTTCTTAACGACGCACTTCTTATTATACATATATTGATAGTGAACAATTAAAGACTAATCTAAACCTTCGCCTGTCTCTGCTCTTTTTGTTATCCCTAAGACAACCTAAGGGCATATGTGCAAAATTATTTTAATTTTAATAATGAAGAAGACAATAAATATATTGAATATTGACCGGGTGGTAAGAAAATCGTGAAATCCAAAACGTCAATAACAAATGAATAAAGGTACCCATCAATCCTAGCTTCCAGAACTATAAAGCTGTATGATTAAGGCTGTACTCACACTGTCAATAAGTTGTTGTTTCTCCTGTAGTTGCAGCTCCTGGCGACGGAGCGTAGCACGCTGCTTCTCCGCCGTGCTACTCAATCGTGATAGTACTTCCTGGTCATGTTCACGTGCCGGAGAGGGCGGGGCACTTGTACCTGAACACGGGAAAAATCTTTCAAAGTCTATAACAATGCCCTTTATTCAATTAGTTTTTAGTAGCAGTCGAGCTCCTCGTGAATAAGTTCGTCCAGATATTTGCTGCCACCTTACCTATTTCCGCAGTAATGTTAGCACTACCGCGTTCCATGTTTGAAGGGTACAATGGCAGTGCCCCACAGATCTTTGCGATTGAAAGCTCTGAATGGCACTGCTATGGACAGGCGTATCGCTTACCACCAGGCGCACTTGTACGTCCAGACACTCGGTATCATAAAAAAAGTAATTGCTTTTTTTGCAGTGCCACTCAGAGCTTTAAATCGCATTACCACTGCGCCTGTCATCCTGAGACATAAGTTGACGAGTCCCATGCGTCCTTTCAAAACCTGAACGCAGTAACGCTCACATTACTGGTTGACGGCAGAAATAGGTAAGGGGTAGCAGTACTTCACTGGACGAATGGCTACCACATGTTTCTAAAAACAGCATTAAAATCTGATATTTCGATAAAAAATATACATACACATAATTAACTACTGATTAAACGCATGAAAGAAAACCTTATTAACATTAAGTAAAACGGTCATATTAATTATGGAAAATACGTGTAATATAAAGGTGTGCACTGTGTAGCCTCTCCGCAAACAATGGCACACTGTATACTATCTCCCCTTCGTGCCTGCTGGCGTGCCCCTAAGTGCCTGGAAATACTTATTAAAATCATACGGCGCTATGAACTCAAAGAAAGTCTGGATGAACTCAAGAGAAGATTAAAAGGTATATAGGTATATATCACTAACAGACTACATACAATTTTAACAAAAACTGATAATTGACATCACAACATAGAATTACAATTCCTGAATCCGAGAACAATTGAAACAATTTTTTTCATCATTTCCATTCTTGCCAAATGGTACCCATTTGTGATATATATTTCCCATTAGTGACATGTGGAACAAGTGGGCCCGGTGGTTAGCAAAATCTACCCCATAACAGTTGCGGCCCCATTTAGAGCTTTAAATCGCAAAGATCTGAGGGGCATAGCCAATGCATCCCCACCCCAAGACAAAATAAACAATCCCCAGGTGCCTGTACTTTCACCAGCACCCTCACCGTTCAAAACTGGGACACAATAAAGCTCGCTTCATTGCTTTGCGGCAGAAATAAGCTCTTTCACAAGGAGCGTTACTTCTAGTGATCACAAACTAGAGAATTGCCCGTACTTTATGACCTTTACCCAGAACACAGATCAGATGCAACTTAAAAAGTGGTCATACTGTCCCACATCTAGCGCATAAGTGCTAACCATTGGGCCATTGAGGTCGTCATTCAACGCAAAGGCGATATTGGCAAGTCGTTTTGTAATTGCGTACATTAACCAAAAGATATCTTATATTAGAGACGTTCGGAAGTGTTTACTTGAAACCTTCCTACGTCATGAAAGACCTCAATTTCACCCTTATCAGAAAAGACAGATATTATATTTCATGACAGAATGCCTGACCCAAATGGAACTGGTATTTAAGGCACGGTATCCTACGTGACTCCTAAATGGACAAGATCAATTTGAATAAGTTGTATCTTATAATCATAGATCAGAAACAAAGTATATTTTAAACCGACTTCAAAAAAGGAGGTTCTCAATTCGACCGAATATTTTTTTGCATGTATGTTACGGGATAACTCTGTGAACCGATTTTGATGATTCTGTTTTGTTGGCAAGAGAGTACATCAGTATTGGTTCTATTACAATTTGAAGAAAATATTCCACCTCGAAGAGTGGCTACGGGATGAATCCGGTTTTGCGCACTTTCCAGTAACCGATTTCAATAAAAGTAGGCATGGCAAATAGACGTAATTTCACCAACTTTATAGGTCGGTTTTTTTAGTACTCTGTACTGATGTTTACCTCAATTTTGAAGACTTAAAAAAAAATATTGATTAAGAAAACCAACGATAAAATATCTTACATAGTGTATAGGCTAACAGTAAAGCTAATGACAGGTTTCCCCTGTTCACATGTCATTATATAATATTAAACAAAAGTAGTACGTTTAATTATTATATCAAAATCTGAAGTTTTATTGCTGCTCATGCTACAATGTAAGATTTTTTAGGATTCAGTCAGCAACCCTTTCACAAAGAGCTCTACGGCTACTAAAAATGTAAATATATCATTAACCCCCGTCGCAAAAAAAGAAGAATATACGTTTGAAGCTTTGTCTGTTTATCTGTTAAGCTTTGTCTGTGGCACTGCAGCTGGACTGATCTCAAAGTTTTTTTTCTATTCAGGGGTTTATTTAATTAGGATGCTTGCATATGGATGGATAAACATCTTTCCAGTTCGCAGTAGTCTGATGCTGCAACTTGGACAATTTGCAGACTACCCAACTTATAAAGTTGCAGTAGAATGCAAAATGTTTGAGCGCTTAAATTATTCCCGACGAGTTGTTAGCTCTAGGATCGTATTCTATATTTTTAATGTGTAGCAACTACCTGCCTACATAATACCATGACCATGGTAGTAATTTTTTTTTAAAGTTTTGTAATTGTAAAAACATGCCATTTTTGTTATTTCTTTATTTTTATTTATTGCACAGAAAAAACAAAAATAATTTAGTAACAAAGAAAACACACACAAAAGGTTCTGCTTATTTCTAACAGAAATTTCTTCCTGCAGATGAAAAGATTTCAGAGGTAGATAGTAAACACTCTATGTGTATTATTTTGAAGTTTAGGTAAATATATTGTAATCGTAAATTTAGTATTTCACAGTGCAAAAATATCAAGTTGTTTAATCCGTTTAACTTCATTTTGATTGTCAACTGATTCATTCCATAAATACTTCAAATAAAAACCATAAGGATATGTATATTATAATACATACTTCATATCAAAGAGCAATTCTATAGTTGTCAGACAAAAAAACATCAAGTCTTTCAGTTATTTTTCCTATTAGTAATGTAGTAGTTGTGATGTCCCAATCGTTATTGACAATTATGCGAAAATGCTCACGTTTTTAATCGATGTATGAGTTTGTGTTTGATAATTTTGTGTTCTTAACTTTTTCCTTATTTACTTTTTTATTCATCATCATCATCATATACAGCCTGACTTCACCCACTGCTGGGTATAGGCCTCCAAGTTTCTGTGCCACTCCCCACGATCCCGTGCTAATCCCATCCAGGTTCTTCCCACCAATTCCTGAGATGTCATACGCCCATCTCGCCGCTGGACGCCCGACGTTCCTGTATCTAGTCCTTGGACGCCACTCAGGTAACGTCCGTGACATTGCAGATAAACTGCAAGAAAGCCGCCTACGTTGGTACGGCCACATCTTACGGAAACCGGCATGCTACGTGGGAAACAAATGTCTGGCTATGCCACCTCCGCCGGGCCCCGGTAGAAGGGGCAGACCCAAGAAGTGCTGGCTTGACGTCGCCAAGGGTGATATGAGTGCCAATGGTCTCACCACTAAGGATGCCGAAGACCGTGCAAAGTGGAGGAGAAAAAGCAGGAAAGCGGACCCCGGACTCCGCAGCAACACTGCTGAGGACGCAACCGGGACAACGCTGAGATGAGAGAGAGAGAGAGAGGACGCCACTCAGTTAACGCCTTACTCCATATGTCATCTTGTCTCCATATTAGGTGCCCTGCCCAGCTCCACTTTAGCTTCGTGATGCGGTTCCCCACGTCCTTTACCTTTTTTATTACTTCAGTTTTTTTTATTTTTTGTTATATTCCTGCAAAGTGCAGTACTGCTTATACATTTGGAAAAGTCGAGGAAATTTGTAAAGCCTGTTTTTGTGTGTGTGTGTGATGAGTGATTATTCAGGATGCCGCAAAATTTTCTATTAATTTTAAATTTCTTATCAAGGGTGTTAATTTGGATGCTTTATTTTAAGAATAGGTAAAAGAAAATGTGTGAATATGAAGGAAATGTGATGTGAAGTTAGCCTGTAAAATTTGTATATACAATCCATTTTTTGCATTTCATTAACTTTGTGCTTTAAATTACGAGTTTGAGAAAATAAGGCGACGTATATTTGTTTTATTATTATTATGTATGTATTTACTCTTATTATTGCATATCTTATTATTGCAGGCACGCATTGTATCAACACTGCACTAGGTCCCTACACGTTTGGATTCACTTTCCACTTAACATCAGGTGGAGTGGAATCATCTATCTGTCATGTATAAAAAAAATAAAAAATGAAGTAAAATAATTTTAATTTCGATGTTTTGTTTAATAGAAAATTCCATAATTTCACGTTAAACCTACTTGGTTAAAGTAGGTATTTAAAGGTAATTTTACAGGTTTAACAGGTTAGTTTTCTCGACCTAATTTTGGTGGTAATTTTTATTATTTAAGTATTCGACTATATTATCATGAAATATTAAATAATATTTAAAGATACGTGCACTCGAATATTAAGAGAATATTTAAATAATAAAAATCGCCACCAAAATTAAATAAAGAAAATTCACCTGAAACATCATCATCATCATATTAGCCGGAAGACGTCCACTGCTGAACATAGGCCTCCCCAAAGATTTCCAGACCAGACGCGACGTGCATCCATCGGTTACCTTTACAAGGTCATCCGTCCATCTAGTAGGGGGCCGTCTCACTGAACGCCTTCCGGTTAATCTGAAAATTACCCTTATCTTCTTCGTACCTGTTATTAAAAGCTATGATTTACTATGACAAAGCTATCAATACAAAATAATAACTCCTACACCTTTGAAACACTGTTTGTCATTCTAAATAATAAAATTCATGGAAGAATGGAAAAATGGAGTTACGTTAAAAACGATTATTGCTCCATTAGATACAGAAAAATATAAGCCACATCTTCTCCAATTCTTGTAATTTTATCAACTAATATTGTAGATGTTTGACGTAACTCTACTTATGCCATTCTTCCATGAGAGGTGACGACAACGGTTTGCACTGTGGGTGCTGGATGGTCCGTGTAGTGCCCCGGAGAGA